TGCAGTGTGTTGACTGCGACCTTTGTAAAGATGCATTGTTGTCTACAGATGTTCAACCGTTTCACACGTTAATTGCTAATCGAGAATATAATTTAGAAAAACAAACACTCTATTATCCTTCAAAAAACATTAGTTCATTAGCATGGGAGAGTATTTACTTAATCGATAAATTTTTGCCACAAATTTGCTATGTTTACGTTTACCCAGAATTACTCTCAATTTTGCAGAAAAATACTAATACAGCTTGGTTTACCTGCTCGCGACACAAGAAAAATTTTTTAACTGCTTTTTTCCTTTACGTTATAAAAATGCAAGGTAGACAATGGTGCATCAATTTTAATAGAAGAATACACAATGTTGATTCGAGACCAAAGGCAGCAGAAACGGAAAACTTGATCCAAAGTAAAGTCACCAAAGGTTTAAGTTATAGATCAACTAGATTGCGCAGTTCTTAATTTCTATTTAATTATTTTTATATTTGTTGTTTATTTTATTGTTATCAAGTTTGCCATTTGGTTGATTATAGTACTTGATTTTGTTATCTCAAGATTGTCGTAAAACTCAATGATAAATGTTTTCACTCGAAGCGACACAACTTTTTCATTTTATTTTTTGTTCGACTTTGAGAGTAGTAGAGTCTTTGCAGTTCCATTGTTGCTGCCCATTCCGTCCCTAGAGTTTTCCTTTTGTGTTCTATAGGTTTATGTTGATTGTTGTGATTAGTTTAGTACTATTTAATTATAATTGTTATTAGCTCGACTTGACTTATGTAATTTATTAATTATTAATTTAAATGGTATGTAAGCATACATAGGTTAAGGATAAGTCTAAATTGTAAATATATATAGAATAGCTACAAAGTAAGTCGGTAGCTTTTAATGTCTCCTTATTCTCTTGTATAAATGATAGCCAGGCAAATATACTAGACCTCACTATAAAGACTCAGCCTTGTAAATATGTATAGAATCACAAAGTAAGTAGGTAGTTATTAATGTACTCTTATTCTCTTGTATTAATGATAGCTAGGCAAACATAGAAGACCAGACTTTGAAGTCTTAATATTGTAAATATGTATACAATAGTTACTAAGTCACAAAGCAAGTCGGTAGTTTTTAACGTTCTCTTATTCTCTTGTATAAATGATAGGCAAACACACTAGATCTGACTTTAGAGTCTTAAGTTTTAACTGTATATAGAATAATTACTGAGTTCCAAAGTGGGTAGGTACTTTTTAACGTCCTCTTATTATATTGTATAAATGATAGCCAGGCAAACATATTAGATCTGAGTTTAAAGTCTTAAGTTTTAACTGTATATAGAATAGTTACCGAGTTTCAAAGTGGGTAGGTAGTTTTTAACGTCCTCTTATTATCTTGTATAAATGATAGCCAGGCACACATACTAGATCTGACTTTAAAGTCTTAAGTTTTAACTGTGTATAGAATAGTTACTGAGTTTCAAAGTGTGTAGGTAGTTTTTAACGTCCTCTTATTCTCTTGTATAAATGATAGTCACGGAAACATACTAGATCTGACTTTAAAGTCTTAAGTTTTAACTGTATATAGAATAGTTATTGAGTTCCAAAGTGGGTGGGTAGATTTTAACGTCCTCTTATTCTCTTGTATAAATGATAGTCAGGCAAACATACTAGATCTGACTTTAAACTCTTTAAGCTTTAACTGTGTATAGAATAGTTACTGATTTCCAAAGTGGGTAGGTTGTTAATGTCCTCTTATTCTCTTGTGTTTTGATACACAAACAAACATACTAGACCTCTGTTTACAGTCTAAATTGAAAATATGTATAGAATAGTTACTGAGTTACAAAATGGGTAGGTACCTAGTTTAAATGTCCTCTTATTATCTTGTATAATGATAGCCAGGTAAACATACTAGACCTCACTTTAAAGACTAAAAATTGTAAATATGTATAGAATCACAAAATAGGTAGTTTTAATGTAATCTTATTCTCTTGTATAAATGAATGCCAGCCAAATATACTAGACATCACTTTAAGAAGTAAAAATTGTAAATATGTGCAAAATCACAAATTAAGTAGGTAGTTTTTAATGTCCTCTTTTTCTCTTGTATTAATGATAGCTAGGCAAACATACAAGACCAGATTTTCAAGTCTAAATTGTAAATATGTATAGAATAATTACTGAGGCACGACGTAAGTAGATAGTTTTTAACGTCCTCTCATTCTGTTATATAAATGATGATGGCCTGGCAAATATACTAGACCTCACTTTTAAGTTTAAAAATTGTCAATATGTATAGAATCAAAAAAGAAGTAGGTAATTTTAATGTCCTCTTATTCTCTCGTATTAATGATACCTAGGCAAATATACAAGACCAGACTTTCATGTCTACATTGTAAATATTATATAGAATAGTTACGGGGTGGGAGGTAGATTTTGATGTCCTTTTATTCTCTTGTGCGTTTCATATTTCGACAAACATACTAGAACAAGTTTGCCATTTCGTAATTATAGTACTTGATTTTGTTATGTCATGTTTATTATAAAATTCAATGGCAAATTTTTTCAGTCGATGCGGCACAATTTCTTTATTTTACTTATTTGTTCGATTTTGATTAGCAATTCTTTTAGATCTAGAGTGTTTGTAGTTCCATTGTGGCCGCCCATTCCGTCTTTAGAATTTTCTGTTTATATTCTATATGTTTATGTTGATTGTTGTGATTAGTTAGGTACTATTTAATTGTAATTGTTATTAGCTCTACTCGACTTATGTAATTTATTGGTTATCATTTAAATGATATGTAAGCATATATAGGTTCAGGCTAAGTCTAAATTGTAAATATGTATAGAATGGCTACAAAGTAAGTAGGCAGCTTTTAATGTCCTCTTATTTTCTTGTATAAATGATAGCCAGACAAATATACTAGACCTCACTATAAAGACTAAGCCTTGTAAATATGTATAGAATCACAAAATAAGTAGGTAGTTATTAATGTACTCTTATTCTCTTGTATTAATGATAACTAGGCAAACATACAAGACCAGACTTTCAAGTCTTAATATTGTAAATATGTAGAGAATAGTTACTAAGTCACAAAGTAAGTAGGTAGTTTTTAACGTCCTCTTATTCTCTTGTATAAATGATAGTCAGGCAAACATACTAGATCTGACTTTCAAGTCTTAAGTTTGAACTGTATATAGAATAATTACTGAGTTCCAAAGTGGGTAGGTAGTTTTTAACCTCCTCTTATTATCTTGTATAAATGATAGCCAGGCAAACATACTAGATCTGACTTTAAAGTCTTTAAGTTTTAACTGTGTATAGAATAGTTACTAATTTCCAAAGTAGGTAGGTTGTTAATGTCCTCTTATTCTTGTGTTTTGATACGCAGACAAACATACTAGACCTCTCTTTATAGTCTAAATTGTAAATATGTATAGAATAGTTACTGAGTTACAAAATGGGTAGGTAGTTTACTTGTCCTTTTATTATCTTGTATAAATAATAGCCACGCAAACATACTACACCTCACTTTGAAGACTAAAAATTGTAAATATGTATAGAATCACAAAATAGGTAGTTTTTAATGTCTCTTTTATAAATGATAGCCAGACAAGTATACTAGAACTCACTTTAAGAACTAAATATTGTAAATATGTGTAAAATCACAAAGTAAGTAGGTAGCTTTTATGTCCTCTTATTCCCTGTTGTTAATGATAGCTAAACAAACATACAAGACCAGATTTTCAAGTATAAATTGTAAATATGTATAGAATAGTTACTGAGTTACAACGTAAGTAGGTAGTTTTTAACGTCCTCTTTTAACATTCTCTTATTTAAATGATGATGGCCAGGCAAATATACTAGACGTCACTTTAAAGTCTAAAAGTTGTCAATATGTTTAAAATCAAAAAAGGAAGTAGGTAGCTTTTAATCTCTTATTCTCTCGTATTATTGATAGCTAGGCAAACATACAAGACCAGACTTTCATGTGTACATTGTAAATATTATATAGAATAGTTACGAGGTGGGTAGGTAGTTTTTGATGTCCTTTTATTCTCTTGTGCTTTTCATATTCCGACAAACATACTAGAACTTAGTCCAGTTTGCAAATATGATTAAATTATACATATGCATATACGTGTAAGCATTTCTGTATACGTTTGGCTTTTTTTTTAATAACGCGCACACTCAACATAGCCCTGCACTAGGGAAACCCTTTGTCGCGGGAGCCATGGACACACACATAGACAACCACATTTACACCCACACTCCGAGAGAAATGAATGTAGGCCATACAAATGTTTGCCCGGCCCGGGAATCGAACCTGAGACTTCTGCGTGGCAGTCCGGCTTGGTAACCGTTCGGCCACGGAGGCAGTTATTGCTTTTGGATAAGAGTAGTGTAGTAGTGTCCCATATTATATGCGGGCGGAGCTATATCCAAGTAGTGGTTGAGTCGCACGGAACAGCGCGGAAATTGTACATTATCGTATGTACTAGGTGGGGCGCTGTTCCCCCTCATCAGAGGGGCCATTTCATTGGTACACGTACACATTTTAGCCGTAGAAATTGGTATTATTAAAATATAAAGATTGTTACTTAAGTTCGGTATAAGATATATTAATGTATAAGTATCTGTGTATTAAATAAATAAATAAAAGTCATTCTTACTCATTTTAATCCCCATTCCTAAAATTTTTGTATCTCCAGAACCTGAGCGTACAAAATCCGGAAAAATATTCTATACTTTAATCGTATGGCACAGCTCTAACACCGGTTTTATCGATTAGAGGGCGTCCCTATTTTACTACAATACTACACATAACTATATGAAAGGTGTAAAAGGAACAAAAGAGTTGATAATGAACAAATTTCAAAGTGCAAGTGAGATATTGCATAAATTTATCAATGAATATCTATAGCACATTCCTCGCCGCCTCCGCGTCGCATCATACCCCACTACTATGACATTGTCTTTCCAAAGACTTAACCGTCTGTCTTGTATTTTTAGTTTGTGAGTTTGATGTCCTTGTAAAATAATTGTAATTTGTCAAAAATCAAGTGTTTAGATTATTTATCATTATTATTAGTGAAATACTAAAACTGTGCACAATATTTAACAACTGTAAGTATAGTACATCGAAGCTCCCAGAATCTGCTTGATGCGTCGTAACAGGGTTGATAAGGGCGGTCAAAGTAATCTGAATACAAATGAGTAAATGATTGAAAATTAATCGTGGGCCTTTTCTTGCAGTCGAGCAAGAGGTTGTTGAGGTTTCAGTGGGAGTGCAATGTCCGAGGAGACAGATCGGCACGGGGAGTCGGCGAGTGACGGAGCGGGCGGCGGCTCGAATGCCATTCGCGTGTTATTGACCCCACACCAGATTGACGCCGCCAACGCGGACTCGCTGCGGGCCGCGTGGAGAAACCAGGACTTGTACATTGACCACCTCGAATCATTGAACAAACAGTTGGAAGGTATTTACGAAAAGTTTCGGCTTGGTAGTGACTTGTGGTCGGTTCGGCCGTCTGTTTTCGTGCAAACGTTGCCATGTTACTCTATATATCGACAATGCTTTAACTAAAACTAGTGATACTGTTTTAATTTGGTTGAATATCCATGTGATGCAAAGTTGTTAGTTATAATGTGGTAAAAGGTGTATTTAGGTGTAATAAGGTAGATGGTCACAAGAAATCGGTGTGATGCTGTGTAAGAGCCGTGACAGTGGAGTGATCAGTGGAAGTGAAATGAAGGTGTCTGTGAACGCTCCAGTGCCCCAGGGGCTCAGTGCAGTGTCAGCCGCAGTGACTACTGCCTGTGTTGATGCTGAGTCACCGAGTTTTTATCTGCATGGAAAAGTAAATATTTCTTGTTTACTTGTGTTGCCATAATTGTAAGATTTGGTTTGTATTATTTGTTATTTAAAAAAATGTTGCTACTTTATTGATGGTGGAGATCTGAAAATTTATTCCAGTTATTATAGTAAATTTATTGCGATTAATTTATAGAATTCTCATAAGAAATTCGAATAACAAAAGCTTGCAACACTCTAGCCCTTTTCACATACATACACAGACACACACACACACACACACACACACACACACACACACACATACACACACACACACACTCAGTTTCATAAAAACCAACACAAAATTCTTGGACAATTCACTGATACAAGAACATATGACACGGTTGGTGTGTCATGTAGGAAATTCTACACTTCATATATTGGTAAATGGTCACAGCAACAATGGTGTGTGAAATGGACTGTTGACTGGAATGAAGCTTCCAAAGCAACATTGCAAAAGTATTATGCATAAATGAAATGTAAAATTGCACTTGACTGTCATCAGCTAAGTTTAAAAACCTCGTAACTCAGTATGTGGACAAAATCCCTTTTGTACTCTTTAAACGTAATATTGGGCAATTGAAGCTTTGAATGTAAGTTGTGCACCTTCTTAAGTTTTTTTTTAGTTATAAAATAAAGGTATAATCATAGATTATATATAGTAATTAAATTGTTTGTGCCTATTCAAAAGTTCACATGAATGGAGGTTACAAGGATTTTGAATTTAGCTGATGTGACATTGAAATCTTGCTAATCTCCACTTACACTCAAGTGAATTCAATTTCGTTTTTGCTTGTCAATGCATAGCTTATAAATTATAAATAAAAAATATTATTTCACAAGTATCTATTATAAATTTATAAGTTATTATACTTTTTTTCAAGATGGAATAAAATTACTTTTGCAGAGGAGATAAAATTCTGCAGAAACTTATGAAAGATGTGCTAATGATTAATAATTACACCATAGTCTTTGTTTTAATTTTGATTAATGGCGCACTGGTATTAAAATTAATTTTCAAAATACAGAGGCACAATCTTATTCTTCAAAGATATGTCTATTTTCATCACACACACAGTTTTGTACATATTATGGATTTAAATTTATATTCAAGTAAAACTAGGTCAGTATGTAAGCATAATTAACCAATAGTTAAATCAATGGGCAATGGCAAATAAGCTGGTTACCCTTTTGCGTATTGAACAGTCATTTTACTCTGTCTTGAAAAAAGAAAGTATGAATATAATGCTTTATATTACAATGTTGTAGTACTAATTTACAGAAAGCCCGTTTTTATTTTTTTAAATGTTATGATTATAATGAATCTTTTCCTTTATAATAACAACTCTTCTTCTGTTATCTGATGATACCAATAAGGCAATGGAAAATATTTCTTAGATAATAAAAATATTTAACATGAAAGACTTAAAACTATGTATGAAATAGTTAATTGTTGAAATTCCTTTCCCAAAGTTTTATTTATTTATATTGATTGATGCTGAAGACGACAATAATAAAACTAGTGTAATGTGAGAGTGTCTAGCAATTAATTTGTCACATGTTGGATTCTAATATCTATTCAATGCAATTCTAATAATTTCTCTAAACAAAAGTTTTTGATTTCAATATAATATGGCTTTTAAATAATGCCCAAAACTCAACTTTCAATTGTACGTTCATGAAAATCTTACAATATATTTCAGCATACCTAATTGTATCTTAGGTAATTTTGTACAGCAATTTCTGTTTTACATTTTAAACTAGGACAATGTAAAATTATACTTTTACACATTAATTATCAGGTATGTCAAGAAACAATATTACAGCCATGTCATATATTTCTTTACTCACATTACATTACCGAGTCTTTATGTAACAACTTTTATTATGTAATTTATGTATGATATCAAATATTGGAATATAGTAAACAGAACTAATATTAATATCATCTATTTTGTTATGCATTAACCCACATATGTTGAATTTGTTTACAAAGCCTAAATTAACAAAGGAATGAATGGCTTGGGCACAATGTATTTACACTGCTTAAAGATGACAATAATTAATGATTTATAATTAAAAATAATTTTATCTTGGGAAATAACCTGTGGTATAACGGTCTGTGAGGAATATTGTTGCTCCGTTTGTTTTACTTGACTGCTCAACAAGGAGGGTAACGTATTTTAAGTGTAAGGAAGACCTGTTTCTTTGGTTCACCTGTAATTGGTGACTTGAGACGTAATTAAAGTACCCAATGTTAATCCTTATTTAAAATATATTACAATATTTAAATGGATTTTATCTTTTAGTAACTTAAGTATTCAACAGTAAATTATATGACAGTAATAGGATTTTAGGGTTTGTTTTAACCGACTTCAACAACAGGAGGAGGTTTTCTATTTGATACCCCCAATGAACACTTACGCCATCTTAATTTTTGAACCTGTTGTTTTTATTTTGTTTTTGTTTGTTTATTATTTTTTTCACAAAATTCGGGGAGCGTAGATACTCCTAGACACATAATTGGAGCCACCTCGCATTCTTGACATAAAGAGCTAGATACCAAAATAGTGTTATCGTAGAAGACAAAGTTTTCCCCAGTTTTACAAATCCAAATTCCCAACAAGGACTTATGGAAAAGACATTTAGTATACTAGTTTCCAAATTGCATAATAGTTTTTGATCAATCAAACAAGTTGTTTAAGCTTAGGACACTTAATGCTGAAAAAGCATTGTGGCTGGAATTATGTAAATAAATATGTCTGTTTACAAAAATAACAGAAAATGACTAAAAAGTAAAGTTGGGAGTAATGTTCATTAGAGGTATCGAATTCGATTGTATTTTTTTATGTGTGTTTTACATGATTACTCTGACATTTGTGAACCGGTTTTTAATGATTCTTTTTTGTTGGAAAGAGGGCACCTCAGTGGTGTTCCCATTAAAATTTGATAAAAATATTCCACCTCTAAGAGCGGCAAATTAGGGGATGAATCCAGTTTATTGGATTTCACTCATTTTCTGTTACCAATTTCAATAAAACTTGGCAAATACATGTAATTCCACAAACTTTTGCAGTCAGTTTTTTTTAAAAAACGTTATAATTAATAATTTTCGGTCTATTGTACAACCTGTTTTTTTTTACTTTTAAACTTTGTTTAAAATTTTTTTGCCTGCTTGCAAATGTTCAGTGAGGTATCAAAAAAGGTATTGTTTTTGTAATATGTCAGTTATGTTTTGAAGAACTCTCTGCTCTGTTCCCTTTACATCCAGTTTAGATTAAATTGAAAAAATTAAATGCCTTTTAGTGCCTAATAAGGTGGTAGTCTCTTTTTAATGTATAATTAGGTTAGTAAATTGTCTTACAACACTTATAACAAATTTTTCCATACCTTTGTGCTCTTCTAGTACAGGAATACATTGTGAGTAAATAATATTGTAGAAAATTTGAAAACTGTTTATTCTGATCTGTACCTGGGGTGCTACCCTCGATCTCCGTCCGACATCCGTCCGAAACAATTACTGTCAAATAAGTAATATTCGACAAAATTAAAAGACAAGTATCCAGTATGAAGCTTCATTCGCATCACGCGTCTTTTCATTTGGCCAAGTATTGCTTATTTGGCAGTAATTGTTTCGGACGGAGATCGAGAGTAGACCCCCTGAACCAAAATATGTGGATGTGCCAAAAGCAACGTAATATTAGGTTCACATGATAGAGAATTCAGGACAGCCTAAATTCTCTTTATTTGAAATGAAAGTCAATACAAAGGAACAATACATAAGAAAATATGTTCCAGAGATTGCAAACACTGTCTTTGTCAAGGTATATAGGAAGGTACATAAATTGCCATGTTGTACATTTTCAAGTCTTCTTTTCATGTAAATATCACAAGGAAGTCTTAGTTAAGGTATTGTCGATTTTAGAATTTTACTTTGTATTGTATTTTTAAGTGTGTTCCTTGCAATTTGATGTATAAAAAAGAACGCTTTAATCATTTAAAAGCTACTAAAGCATAAGAAGTGAGATGCCTATTTATATTCCCTAGCTAGAGTTATATCACACATATTATTAAAGTCAGTTAAATTGTTACATTTGTTAATTTTTACTTTGGGAGTCAGTGTTACCTGAACTACGTTGGTAATAATGGATTACCCAATTTTAAATTAACGAATCGCCCATTTTACAGCTAATTTGGAAACGGCGAAAGAAGCAGAGGAGAAAACAAAACAGCAATATGCAGAGTCCCAACACAGAGAGAAGGTACTCGTTCGAAGACTTGCCGCCAAGGAGCAGGAGATACAAGATTACGTAGTAAGTAAAACACACTTAGGGTCGTATTCTAGAACTGTACGCAATGCTCAAGTCAGGACTTGAGTATGATTCAAAGCACTAGAAATCATACTCAAGTCCTTGCCATTAGGGTCGTATTTCCAGTGCTTGAAATCACACTCAAGTCTGCTCAAATACTGACTTGAGCATTGAATAGAGTTCTGGAATACGACCCTTAAAGTATCAAATCGCTTACATTATTTGATGTTTTGACACAAAAGAGAAAAAACAATGGAAGTGCCTTAAGCCTCGATTACCGAAACCGATGTCGCTAAAACTCACACATTCTTAATTTGAAACACTATAAAATCTTTATATTGATTGGTCGTAGTTTCAAATTTAAAAAGAAATAACAAATACTGGATTGTTAATATAGTTTACCTTTACCCTGTTGGCTATTATTACAAGTTACGATGTTCCGATATTATATTGAAAATTTCAATCAATGTGCTGCCATCTAGCGCTTAATTGCTGAACGATGACGAATTAAATCTTAATTTAATTCTCCAAAAAAAAGCGACTATATTGCAGGGTTATAAACTTTACTTTCGTTTCTTGTAACACAAATTATATCGATAAACAGAAAATTGAAAGTTTATCAAAAATATCACCACGGGTAATATTTTTGATTCATCTATCCTTTTTGCACTCCAAAACAGCAGAAAAAGGTATTTTGCTAGGATTTTAGAGAATTTGCACGAAAGAATGACATAACCATAGATATAGGAGAACAGGGGAGACATGTAATGACGTTATGTAAGATCGGGTACAGATGTCGCCACCTTTTAGCTTGTGTGCAATTCAAACTTTACGCTCTATTTTCTACTACCATAACTTAAACATTTTGATTAGGTAAGGCTTAAAACGTGAAAACGACGTAACACGATTTTAAAATTTAACAAAGTTAAACTTACAGTCACTTGAGTAAGAGTTATATTACAATATTTCAGTATTTTTTCAGCCTGGTCCAACCATTCACCATCAGGTGGCGTTTTAGTAAAAATGCTACTAGTATATAATAGCTAACTATTACACGTTAGATGGCGCTGAAACTCATTTTTCGTTACTCTAAGAACTCACGGAGCAGTTTTCACCCGCGTCTGCCGCGGGACCGCGGCATCTGTAGAGTGTAATAGTTAAGTATGTGAAATTAGTAGAACATTTCGCGGCGCGTTTTACGCCTGTAGTGGTGTAGTGGTTGCTCGCGGTTGCCGCGGCGGGGTACTAGTAGAACCGCGTAGGACGCGATCACCTGCGCGTTTGGCGGCCGTCGTCGCCCACGCACTTTGGCGGTCGGTTCAGGCGCAAGGTGGTGCAGGCGCGAGGTGAGTTATCTATTAACAGCGCGACTTGCGATTAACTCCCACTAACTTCGCGGTCCGTTCCGCAATCGCAACGGTTTCGTGCCCATACAAACTTGCAGGGTCGTGAGTATTGAAATAAAACCGCTATCTAGCAGCACCGGCGGGCGCGGATGGAAACCGCTCCGTGAATTGTTAACCTTATTAACCTTAAACTGACGCTACTCAACGAGGGATGTGGTCCTACCTAATCGATAGTTAGAAACCATGTGGCTGTTTTTAATATTAAAAACATAGTCCATTTTTCATACTATACCTACACTGGTACTGGTGTATTATTAAATTAATATATTAATATAAATTATTATTATTTTCTTAATAACGGTCACTAGGCTTGGGCCAGTGTCAGTTTTATAAGAATAATGTAAAAATTATGACGATCGTCGCCAGTGTCAGTTTTCCATTATACGTTAACCACGGGTTGGTGGAACTGTCACTGCCAAGAGTAAACTTGAACCCTCAACGAATTTAATAAATTAAATTATGTTGTTTTTTTTATGAAGGACTTATGTAATTTTCTATAATTGTTTCTAATTTATTTTGCATGCACATGTAAAATAAAGCTGATTTTATTTTATTTATTTTTGAAATGCATTTGCTATGGAAATTTAAACAAAGTCAGAAATAGTAATAAGAAAACCAATCTTCCGATTTTCCTGCAGCTTCTATCCAACCTTCATATAATTTAAACTCATTCGAAAATACGTTTAATCTACGACTATAATGGGATTTAAATATATCGAGATCTTAGGTTTTCGCGATTGTTACACATAGGAAATGACTATTTTTTATTATGTTTGTTTTCTCAAACAAATATACGCGACTTAGATTCGAAATAAAATGTTTAGAAATAATAATAAAATAAAAGAAATCAATTTAACGTGAATGCTTTTCGTTTCGATATTTTAGGGACTATAATTACAAAAATCATAGTAAGAAATTCAAACATTTCAGTAAAAAAATATTGTCGATAAACATCAGTCATCGTAAATGAACATCATTACATTTTTGAGTTCAAAAAATTTCTATGAAGACAAAAAGAAAACATTGAATAATAATAGAAATAGTGGCTAAAAATGCAAATAGCCGGTGTAATGGTATCTCACTGGTTTTAAAATTTTTATTTCACTCCAATTTTTACAAGGTGTATCGCTACAACTTGACATTTTCACATTTTACTAGAGATCTTTTATGTACAACGATCGCCTTATCACTATGGCGATGTTTGTAGGCGTGTAAATATGATCATTTTGATCATATCAAGGCGACACGAACCACGCCTCCATACCAAATCTCCCCTTTTTTTCTATATCTATGGACATAACCATAACAGATAGGTCTTTCAAGACCTATAGTTGGCACGCGTCAGACGCTAACTGACCACTTATACTGTATTTATTGTTCTTTTTCATAAAGCTATCCAATTTTCTCTCGATTCCAGAGCCAAATTACCGAACTGAAATCATCGCATGCGAGTCTCAACGGAAGACCCACACTTCTCGACCCAGCAGTCAACGTTCTCATACTCAGGTTGAAACAGGAATTGACGTCGACAAAAGCGAGACTAGAAGAAACACAAAACGAACTGTCGGCGTGGAAATTCACGCCAGACTCGAATACAGGGAAGAAGCTTATGGCCAAGTGCAGGTTGCTGCACCAAGAGAATGAGGATCTCGGACGGATGACGTCCAGCGGGCGGATAGCCAAGTTAGAAGGCGACTTAGCGCTGCAAAAAAGCTTTAGTGAAGAAGTTAAAAAATCACAATCAGGTTTGTCTATTCGCGCTCATTTGTGTATGTAAAGGTGGCGGTTCGGGTCGAGACAGAGACAGGAGACCAATACCGTTACTTGACTTTAGACTTTTGTATGACACTATGTCAGTTCGCGAGCTAGACCGAAACAGGCGACTGCGACGCGAAACAGTCTCAGCCGCGGACCAGTGGTGTCGCATTGAAATGATAAGACCTGCTGCATAACATATTTAATTCGCAGCTTGACTCATACAGGGATGAAAATTTGAAGTATAATATTATGTTAATATAAATAATATTGATAGCTGTATAGATTTCCTTATTTTTATTTGGTTATGAGTTTCCATTTCGTGGCAACCAAATTAGAGTGATTTACGGGAATCTATTGTTATCAGTCTGTAGACAATATAAATTAATGCTTACTGTGCAAAAAATGAAAAGTTGTACCCGTTTAAATAACAAAGTAATAACGTTAAATCCCTCTCCTGTGAAATTTGGTTTAGTGCAGATAGGCGCTTTTTACCAATTTGCACTATCCCCGACCGGTCTCCTGTCTCTGTCTCGGCGTGAACCGCCGCCTTTAGTCTTTGGCGGAATGAAATAGTAACACGAAAAGTCGCAATTGCAGAGTTGGACGAGGTCATCCAAGATCTGGACGAGGATGTGGAGGGCATGCAGGGCGCGGTGCTGTTCCTGCAGCAGGAGCTGCGCGCGTCTCACGCGACGGTGAACGGCAACCGGCCCGCCAGCCCCGACAAGCGGACGTACTCGGGCAGCGAGTGCAGCGACGCCCCCGTCGGCAAGAGGAGGCGCGCCTCCGTCCTCTCGCTCGACTACAACGAGGAGGAGGAGCCCCTCACCGTGACCAACGGCGACGCCGACTAGCCCAGGACCTCTGTGTTCTCGCTGCGAACACGGTACTTTAACAAGAACTAGTGCATTCTGTGAACCTCTCGTATCTATGTAGCCTTGCGGCCTCATTTCGTTGACTCGATTGAATCTTTTTGTGAGTGATCGTCTCATCTGTTGTCGAGGTGAAACTGGTCAGTGTCAACCATTTGTAACAATGATATGTGAATGCTTCATGTTTTAGCACATACTGAAGTGTATCCTATAAATCTATGTACTTTGACTAGAAGACGAAATATATAGACGACTACGTCATTTCGATTGACAATGAATTGGTGATGATTGTGTCTAACGTGAAAATGATATAAACATTGGTTAAACTATAGTTTGCGTTCATGCACATACAGTGGACCATGTGATCAGATTTTAATAGTGAATCGTTTTTGACATTGTTTTTATAATTATAATGAATACTGAAACAGACACTCAGTTGACAATTTTATAATTTATTGATGATAAGTGCATTAATTGTGATAATTAGGAAATCCAATGATATGTGAGCAATAACGATTGGCTTCTGTCGCCGCGTTGTTGAGTCAATCATAATAATATTTTATTGGCATTTATTTTATGGATGTGCCAGTTGACGGGGTGGCAAATGAACTCGAGTCTGTAGATACTGTAATAGCAATAATGTTTAACACCAAGCCTAATTCGAATATTTGCGACGTTTATATGAAATTTGTGAGTTTCTATGCGAAATGTTTCTATTTTAAAATTACAATGGATGTATATAAAGCTATGTTAATAAACATATATTACTGGCATCAATTGGCGACTTTTTATTCGCATTCACAAGTCACTCCTGAGTACATGTTAAATTTAAGTTTTCAGACGTAGTTTACTGTATATGGATATTGGAGTCATAAAAAATAACAATATACTGCTTACGTATTATTTCGATAACTTGACGGAATAAAATATAATAATATGGCACGGGCAGAAGTATATGCCGTTATTTTAACAGTAGGTAAGGGTATCAACATCTTATAATTTGTGTTTTTTACAATGTAAAATGGCGGAAGGTCTTGGATATTATTTGTTAAATTTTTTTTAAAGTAGCACGTACGAAAAATTCATTTTACACCGTGTTTGCTTATGTGGCTTTAAGGGTCAAGTCACACTGAAAGAACCGACGCGCGCAACGGCCGGAAGATCTAGCATGGTGCGTTTTTCCTTTCCTTACCTCAAACCATTGACGATACAGGGGATTTTCTTTTATTTTATACCAAATGACGATACGAAAAAATCGTGTGCATGTCACCCTGAGACATCAATCGACAAGTCCCATGTGCCTGTAATTCCAGCAGCACCCATCCAAACCGGAACCCAGTAATGCCCACATTACTGCTTTGCGGCAGAAATAGGTAAGGAGGCAGTACTTCCCAGGACGTACTCTTTCACAAGGCTCTACTGCTACTAATTTTTTTTATGCCGACGCGAGACGATCCATTACGTTGATAATTCCATGGCAAATGTTTTTTGTTATCCGTAATACCTAGAGTAAGGAATTAATGATAGGGACCAGCGTGCTGATTTTGATTCAAATCTGAAAATCCGACCGGGTAGTCTCGAAATCAGATGGGTTTCTGAGCGAGAAGATGAACCTGATTCCTACTATGTCTTTCTAATTTGTGAATTAAATCAACTATTGTTCCGATTAGAAATGTCAAAAGTTTGCGATCGGCCAGTTGTGAATCACAATAAAATTATGCTCCTAGACTCGGAAAAGAAGCTATTTCCGATCGGGAGAGGCAATCAAAATCAAGCTGCAGAACTTTTAGAACTAGTCGCTACAAGTCTTCCGATGCCGCACCAAACATTATATCACTTCAAATAAATTTGAACTTTTTTTTAATAAATAAGATTGAAAACTCTAAGTAATACTTTGGACTAAAAATTCTCCTCCGGCCGGTGCTAGTTGTGTGTGACTTGACCTTAAGGTTGGACTTCCTTTAGGCGTCACTTTTAAATGTAACCAATCCAATTTACACGAATCTGCCGAACTAATACCATCATCAATTCATCAAGCACGCATATTGCTGGACCTATTGCTACCAGTCAACCAATTCTTACCGACTCATATGCGAAAGTATTTGTATTGTATTGTTTTGTAACATAATTTACTATCCACACAAAAAGTACATTTGGGGCTGGCTACGTTGGAACCGCAACAAATGCGCGTACCCTATGACGACGCGCAGGTGTGGAGGACCATGCTCAGACATCGACACGAATACAAAATCATGCAACAACTAGAAAGCCATGCAGGTAACAAGTTTTACCATTTTGTTTGTAACACCACATAATAATGTCTAATTATTTATCAAAGATAAGGGTATATATAAACTCCATAATACCTCTCTTTGAAATCTTGCAATGATTAAAAAGAACGAAATAGATATTTGAGTAAACTAGGTTTTTTCGGATCTATCGCTTAATTTATTTTTTCAAGAAAACCATAGTTTCGGACCCTTTTCAAGTCCCATTACATGTCCGTAGTCATGTACATAGTCCCATATTACAAAATTGAAGACTACGTGTTAGATAAAGATGTATGAATTTGATTCAAAGTGTATTCAATAGCATTTAATTAAGTTTATTTGAAAAGAGCAATCCCTAGAGTTTCTTGCTCGTTCTTCTCAGGGAGGTCAGCGTAGTGAACGAGCAGTAGCTTAAATGTGACGTTTTCAAGTGTAAATTTATTTTACCTATGAAATAAATAATCATAGACTTTGACTTTGACTTTGACCCATTGTCACAACGTTTAACGTTTGTTTGTTTGAAAAAACAAATGTGATTTAGATAAAAAAAATAGTTTAATTTGAAAACAAAATACTTAGTTGCTTTTTTCTTCTATGCCATAATTGACTAAATTGCTTAGTACCTATACATAAAATATAGATATTATGTCTAGAGCAAATTATAATATGATAATTCCGATGATATATTATTCACTCTATGCATTTTTTTTAAGTTTAGTAATAGTCTTGGAACCAACTTCAACTCCCATAGTATATATATAGTCTGATATACCAAACAAAATACGTACCTTAAGGACTAACATATGTACATATACCCTTAGAATAATAACGCATAGAATGATAGTTTCATATCAAACGAACTGTCACAAGTGAGGCAAAAATCAAATTCATGTAGGCTAGTCTTAGTAGTAGGTTAATTTTCGGTTTTAGTGAATATTTATATAAAAATACAAGTTGAAACGCGTTACTTCCTTGTGGAATGTGATGTTAGTATCTATTTTATGTTTGTCTGACGTATTTTTACACTATTTCACCGCACATTTCGTCATTTTTAGCTAAAATTCATGATCTGTTCGCGGTGCAAGTTGACGTTGAGCACTGAAGGCCCGCCCGCTCGTGTAGGCCCATTGGGCGCGCTTCAATTTGCCTCACTTAGCGTGTGCGGACTAGGTTTCTATGCGTTATTATTCTAAGCATATACCTATAATATAATGTTAAAACGATTATTATTATATTTGATTATTAAATATGTAAGCTTATCCAAAAGATTTGTCAACTCGTCATCGTCCTCTTCACACCGAACGCGGGGGCTACACGGGTTTCATAACATGACTGCAATGTCAACGTGCAACGGAAACCGCGAAAGAGTGAATTTGTTGTGGAAATAGTGAATTTCCGAATAAAAAAAGTTTACCTTTTCCTATCCTGTAGCAATTTCCTTGAAATTTGATATTATTAAAAATTGAAATAAGCTATTTATAATAAGAAATAGCCTACCGAAGATCGCTTGAATGTCATGCAGATTGTAGTTCCGTTTATGTTGTTAATTTTATGCTGGGAGAGAGGATAAAATAAACGTATGAAGAAATATTCAACTCTACTACCACTATTTTGCACGGTTTAACCTTCGCTAGATTAGCTCATTAGCAAGGTAACTTGCTTCCAATTTTATTTATTTATTTATTCATTTAACTTAGGCAATATGATCCATATTCCATTCACCTTCCTGTTCAACCTTCACTGTTCATGCGCTCAGACTTTGGAACGCACTTCCCATTACTGTTCATGATAGTAAATCCTTAGCAATTTTCAAAATAAGTGTTAGGGAGCAATATTTATAGACTGTGCCATCCATTTTATAGGTTTATATATTAATTTAATGTTTTTGATTTTGTTTTTTTTTTATTACATAGTTTTTGTCGTGCACACAAACCCGTTATTGTAATTATTGTCTCCCGTATTTAGATCTGCAGGAAGAAATTTCTGTTACAAATAAGCAGTACCTTTTGTTTGTGTTTTCCTTGTTAGTAAATGTGTTTTTTTGTTTTTCTGTACAAAACAAAATACGTACCTTAAGGATTAACATAGGTACGTATATCTATAATATAATATTAAAACGATGCAACTAATCTGCACGAAGTGCACTTCGCATCGTTTGGCACTATCTTTTAGGTAACCTGCCTCGGAATCGCCGATATAATTATGTATCGGGCAAAACTTCTTCATGAAGGTCGACAGATATTCGATCGGCACTGACACCAAAAACGAATTAAAATTCACATTGTGACTGGACTCCAACCGCTCAATCCTCAGGATGTATTTGGCTTTTAATCTAATGCACTCGAATTCTCCTCAGTCGTTTTATCAATATTTTTTTGCAAAAAAATTGAATATATAATTTTCCTATGACATCAAAATAGCCCCATGCGAGTTTCGAATCTATTGTCTAAATATTACAATAACTTTTTTACACACAGAAATATCAATATGGAAGATCACCCGAACTCACGTAGACTACCTGGTCCATAGTAAACATATGAGTGTTGTGGAACAAATGCTGGTCGAAAACAATATGACATACATTGTGCTGATTGAGGACGTAGAATTAAATATACGTAACACTGTAATGTCTACAGAGTCATGGGCAGATGACACCCTTCGAATCGGTAACCTATTACTATTTTAATAACTGTATAAAGGTGTCATCACACTTACTCGAACTATATAAAAACAGTTGTCAACCACATTTTAAAAATTTGAAAATATTTGACTACCGTCTGTCGTTATTATGATTGTATAATATGAAATTTTACTCTTAGTACAGGGTCAAGAGCACGTCAAGCTTGACACTTAAGATTTAAATTCAACTCTATGCCGTTTTTGATAAGAACTGTCCAAAGTACAAAGTGTCAAGCTTGACGTGCTCTTGACTGTACATAATAATGTAGGTCTTTCTGACCGGTTTAATGCGATTTCGCTCGATAAGTGTGGTGACTACCTAATATCTATAAAAATTGCTGAATAATACTTATCTGCTGAATTATAACTTTATCTATACACATATCATAAACCCTCTATGATTTGTTCAAAAACCACAAATTACAACCAGATTGAATTCGATTTTATTATTACATTCAATTTCGGACATCTCTGAAAAACAAAATAATTTGATTCCACCTCAATTCTAATATCAGTCGAGATGAAGTTTTATTCGAAATGAAATGTAAATAGTAAACAATTTTGACAAATCTCACACCGCAGTTACTTGATATCGAACGATATCTAGTTGAGAAAAGTTTATTTGCCGCCATTTCGCCAGTCGTAACATGCGATTCCTGGATAAAGCAGTGTATGTTACTGTACATAATTAGGCATTAATACACTCGTGTGATGTTTCATACAACCATACTCGTATTTTAATGCCTTTCATTATGTAACAGTCACATTAATATATAAAGGTACAAGTTTAGACTCACTTAGAAAAATAGAACGCATACTTCCCGATATGGTAGAAAAAAGATATTTATACCGTTGTACGCGGATAGGCTCCAAGGCAAAGAATCAAATATGAAAAGACCTGAATGTGGAAAATGTAAACGAGTGATCAACGGCCTGCAAAAACTATAATACATGGGGGGATTTTTGTGCATTTTTATGAGAACACACAACCTGGGCAATTTCCGTAAAAAATGTTCGAAATTCAAATAAACAAGATGGCCACCATACAAATTTCAAAGCCTCCTATCACGGAAACTATTAGAGATAGGTAGGAGGTGCTTGAAGGAATGTCATAGAGGGTAACACTGGTCAACTGCCTGGGTTAAAAAAATTCAAGATGGCGATTTCAAAATGGCGGCCGAAGAATAACTTGCTTCGATCCGGCTGAAAATTGGCATGCGAGTGTTTTAAGGAGTCTTTAATCATAATTAGGGGTCAAAAATTTATTTTCGCCATTTTCAATATGGCTGCCATGTAAGTGTTTGTTCGTTAAAAATAGCTGCCGAAAGAGATTTGCTCTGATTCGACCGAAAATTGGCATTGTGAAGGCCACTGTTTAATAATAATTTGCGGTCAAAATTTATTTTTCGCTATTTTTCAATATGTCTGCCATACAAACTTTTTGGCGGCACATGGAAATTTGCTCTATTTCAGCTGAACCTCTATGGGTGTTTAACAATAGTTTGCAGTCAAAATTTACTTTTTGCCATTTGTCAATATGACCGCCATTAAAGAGCTATGTTAATTTCAATTGATTGAATGATTCAAAGCACTAGAAATCATACTCAAGTCCTTGCCATTAGGGTCGTATTTCCAGTGCTTGAAATCATACTCAAGTCCTGACTTGAGCATTGAGTAGAGTTCTGGAATACGACTCTGAGAGTCGAAGGACTTGAGTATGATTTTCAGTGCTTTAAATCATACTCAAGTCCTGACTTGAGCATTGAATAGAGTTCTGGAATACGACCCTAAGACACTTGGGATAAGAACAGTCCAAAGTGTCAAGCCTGATGTGCTCTTGGCCGCTTCTTGCCTGTGGACCACCTGATTGGTTCACCTCGGTGGATGTGGATCTCGGGCAATTTTTCTTCCCGTGGTTCACCTATGTTCACCCAGTAAGTTCTCTTGTGAGTCTTCTTGTTTTAAAACTCCTTAACATTTCAATTGCAAAGATAATATACATGACTATTATAATGTCTATTAATTGACAATTTGATGAATATTTATTGATTGATGGCATAGTTACTTTATACTGATGTAGGTACCTAAATACAACACACAAAAACTTTCTTATTTGAAATAGTCCGACACTAAGTTGCATATATGTTGGCCTATTAATTTTGAATTAAAATACAAATTAGATTGATATCAATGTTAACAAATATAATACGTCGTCTTGAAGCGAAACCTCGCATACGCCATTTTACATACTTTGTTTTTACTGATTTTTGTTCAAACTAAAATTTATAAATCTCTTAGTCTATTTTTATTGAATAACATGATATTTTTACTACCATGATATCCATTTATTTTTTGTGAAAATACTCGCCTAGTCTTTTACTATTAAATAACTATACAAAGATTCGCAACAACTTCATAGAGATTCGTAAGACGAGATCTTACGAATATCTCTATGAAGTTGTTGCGATCCATTGCTAAGTTGACAAAGCGGTAGCCACATTGAGACGACAGATGCTAGTTCGAGTCTAATGGGATCGTAAGATTTTTTTTTGTTTGTCCGATCTTTGTAACATTAATTATAAACCTTGCTTAAATACGTTATTAAAGTAATATATGCTTATCAAAAGTAATCTAGAGGTCAAGTACGTTTTTGTTAATTACTGAAAGTCAGGTTTTTTAATTAAAAAGTGAAACACAAAAGAATTTTTTTCAAATTTTCAAATTCAAATCATAAAATTGAACAAAAATCCATTGGTGTCATTACTTGACTTACAAATAAATGGACGACGGGTCTAATACAAAAACCACGAAAAAAATGTCCCAAGTCAACCTATTTAAACGTAGTGACATGTAAAGGAATATGAAAAAGCTAAAACGTTGAATTTAAATTGTAATGTCATCGCAGTACTGTCTAATTTTGCTTGCTTCGCTGTCAGTCGAACAAACGAAGACTAAATCGTGAATGACGCTCTGTATATGATTTTAACGCCCTATAAGTTGGGACACTTTTTAGCGCGGACCCGACGTCCATATAATTGTAAGTCAATGATTGATGTTAAAAAAGATTAAAAAACCTGATTTTCAGTAATTGGGAAAAACGTGCTCGATCCCTTGACACTTTCGATGTATGTTGCATCTAAAAGAGAAATAAATGAAAATGCCAAATATAAACATTATATTTTGCACCACATTTTTTATCCTGAAAAATTATATACAAATCACATACCGTGATATTCACTCTGAGACGATGATATTATTATCATCTACCTAAGTCATCTACAAGCAAATTCGTTAATTAGTACAAACTAGTTAAAGCGGTTGTAGATATAGCAAAAGAGAAATTGGGTCGAACTGGTAATGTAGTACAAGCAAAATATCAGTTTAAAGTAGTCTACGCAATAAATTCAGAATTTCTCCTCCCCACCTTACTCATTTCAGGTCACAGACTGAATTGGAAGAAGTTCCCTTCTCTAGAAGTCATCAATGAATACATTCAATATTTGAAAGAAAATTATGCATCTATCTGCACCATTAAAACAATTGGATATTCTATCGAAAATAGACCTATACAGGTAAATAATAATAATAATAATAACGCACACACTCAACATAGCCCCGCACTAGGGAAACCCTGTGTTGCGGGTGCCATGGACACACACACATAGACAACCACAAATTACACCCAAGCTCACGAGAGAAATAAATGTAGGCCATACAAATATTTCTCCCGGCCCGGGAATCGAACCTGGGACGTCTGCGTGGCAGTCCGACATGGTAACCGTTCGGCCACAGAGGCAGTTATATAAATAAGATTTAAAAAACGATACTTTGTAGAGGTGAAGCTGCAGAACCTTGAACACTGCCGTAAAGTTGCCTGCTTGTCGGTTTTCTACAGGATATAACACGGAGAGTGCGAGGGAATTGTATTAATGTTTTTTTCACCTCACTAGCTCGGAGAGGCTTTCTTTCTCATTAGAAATCTGCGGGCAAAAGCGATTTTTGCAAATATCATAATATAAATATAAATCCGTTGGTATGTTTTATTCTTATTATTATTGACATTAAATTGACAATGATAAGTAATTGTGTTTATTAAATTATTTTAATTCATCGAATAACTAAAATAATTTCAATAATCACTTACTCACACAAAATAAAAGTACAAGCAAGAATAAAAATTGATGTGTAAAATCAGAATGCATCCAAAGTTAAACTTTTTGTTTTCATTAAAAAAAACTGATGTTTTATCTTGTTTATATTGTTTGTTATTTATATTGTTTATAGTTCAACTGTTTTTCTTTCATATACCATTTTTCTCAATATAATGAGGTGAAAAGTTGTACGTTTCGCTCGGCAGCAAAGTTGTTTTGCGTTTTGTGCCTTGAAACCCTCGCTACGCACAGGAATCTATTTTTTTCTTGATTTCCTTCGCTTGCTTAGGTTTCAATACAAGCACTTGCGTCAAACAACATCTTTACAGCCCTGCGTAACAAATAACAATATTTTCTTAATTTGAGCGGCGTATAATCGACGTGGCGAAGATTTGTTTTATTTTAATGAAATAACTTCAGATAGAAATCATTTTAATATTACACTTAAAGGACATCTACTATAAAAAGTGCATGAAAAAATTCGAACATAATTTTATTTCTGTCTAAATTTGTTCAAGGTCATGGGAGAATGAGGCTCAATTTTCATTACCGCCGAACGGAATGGAAGTGAATTTTTGTATAGCATAGAACTTTCTGTCAATTGTGTAACGTACAAAGTAGATATGAGACGAAAATGCAGGTCTGGTGCATCTTCTGGAGAATTTCCGTTCCATTTTAACTACATTTATTTAGGGGCTTTGATCATTATTGAACATGTCAGCCCTATTAGAACAACAATACATCAGGAACACTCTTAATAAAATCCAAACAGATAAATCAAAGTACTATCTAACAAAACATGTATGTATAGTATAAAATCTTAACGGCTCTACATGTTGGCTCCGAGAACACGGATTGAAATCACCAGTTCGTACATACATTACACAATTATCATAAATTTGATTATGCTTTAATGGTTACAAAAATTCACTTCCATTCCCTTCCGCAGTAATGTAAATTAAGCGTTAAACTTCCCAAAATATTTATACTCATATCATTTTAATACAACTGTACAGTTTTTCCTTGAACGTATCATATTCTACTATGGCATCAGCGTATGTTCCTGTTAAAGAACTGACTACTATAATAATTATCTACATAGCTGGTACACGTGACCAACGGCGACCCTTCGAACAAGCCTATAGTGATAATATCTGGACAACATGCGCGGGAATGGATTGGCATTACAACGTCTCTTTACATCCTCAACAACCTTGTCACCAAGTTTGACAAACAGCCGGAATATATGAAGAATAAAGATTGGTAAGCTTTGTAATATCCATCTAAACTAGCTGAGCGAGAGCCGGAGAGAGAAAAAGGAGAAAAATGAATCAATGCTAATATTTATTTTGGCCACTGCCTTACCTACCGTATTAGTAGTAACATTTTTCGTCCTTCGGGACAGATCAAGGTGTCTAATTGGCGGTACTGCCAGATCTTATATTGTAATTATTATTCAATAGTCAAATTTTGTGACATTTTTTATTTCCTAACTTCTTTTAACTTTTTTTGTTTTAAATTTTTTTTAAAAAGCCCGCAAGGATACCAATTTCTGAATATATTGATATGTAAAAGTAAAAACAAACAAGCGGGCACAGGACGTTGAGTTAGAAAAAAAATGGCGGGTTTTTATAGTTTTTTCACTAATTAATTCTTCAAGTATATATTACGTGTCGATTTTCTCAATTGTTTATTACCTTTTTAAGCTAATGGCGTTATAGACAATGCTCAATAAATAAATAATACTAATTACGTTGAGGTCTTTTCTTCGCAAATAAGATAAAGTCGAGCGCTTAGACGTTTGTTTACATGATGGTGGCCCAAATCCGCCAAAATTTACTACAATAAACTTATATGTTAACTATATTGTATTCATTAGGTACATAGTTCCGGTGGTGAACCCTGATGGCTACTTATACACCACGTATGATCGTTTGTGGAGGAAGAACCGCCGCATGATACAAGAGAACAAAGGAGGATGTAGCGGGGTAGATGTTAATAGGAATTGGGAGTAAGTTTATCACCAGTATTAATTATAGTTTGAAATCTTGATACAACAATGGGACTTATATGGATAAAGTCCATTGTTGGGCACGAATGTATGTACTCACCAAAGATATAACAAATAACTTGGTACAGTCACGTGCACTGACGCGAAAACAAGTAGCGAAACCTCGATCAAATGTTGTACCTAATATTACATAAATAGATTACCTACCTATGCCTACTTATGTATTTTTGGAAGATGTTTTACAGGAATACTGTCTTCGAAAATCGAAATGGAAATTCATTACTTACAAGTGTCAAAATTGTTTGAGCGTTCAAATGTACCAAAAATATCTAAAAAAAAATTAATAAAAATCGTCTCATGAAAACAAATTTTGGGTGCACTCTTAATAGTTTTCAGACGAATTTCAGTTTAATTAAAAGTGGCTTCATATGTTCAGGCGTTCTCCGTCCAACATCCGTCCGAAACAATTAGCGCCCAGTTACACGAGAAGAAAGTTGTCGCGCGGCCGCCACGCGGCGACCGCCCAGTTACCACGCCTTCATGTACATTAAAGGCGAATCTGAATTCTATTTAATATGCAACCACATTTAAATTCCTCTCAATAAAATTGCCGTGCGGCCGCCGCCCTGCCGCCGTGCGGTCGTCGCGCGGGCCGCCGCGTAGACCAAATTCAAGCCAGGCTTGCCCACGTGCCCGGAACGCTCATTTAAATTAAAGCGTAAAAGTTAAACAAGTAGAGCGTATTTTGCCATGACAGTTAGAAGCACGCGGTCGCTGCGCGGCGGCAACGCGGGGTGAACGCGATGAAGTTCGTGTCGAATAAAAGCGCCCTTACTGTCAAATAAGTAATACTCGACCACATTAAAAGAAGCGTGATGTGAATGAAGCTTCATACTTCGCATTGTCTTTTAATTGGTCGAATATTACTTATTTGAAACAGCAATTGTTTCGGATGGAACAACGAAAGTAGACCTTGGATATGTTTAATAGGTTCGATTTGAACTCTAAGACAAATTTTATTCCAAACGTTTCATCAAACCAATGTATTCCTTTAAATTAAGCACCACCTGCGCGTCCCTTTAACAAAACAGAAAATACTTTTGTTGGTTGCTGAAGCTCATTTCTCCTGTGCTTTTTTGCTGAGGCCGCATTTGTGCGTTTATCGACCCGAAGCTTTGCACAATGCTTTGCACAATACACGCAAATGTAACCAACCATTATCGACTATCGTTGCGAATGTTCGAGCTGCTTACAAGTTATTGCTCGGGTGGCGGCACATCGAAACACGCTTGACGTATCGTGCTGCGTGGTCAGACTAGTGTTGTTCTTTTGCGACTGTTGTTCACGGACTGATTCTGATTTCCGACAGAAGAGTGTTGGACGAACAGTAGTATACAGTCTGTTAACAAAAATGTATCGGAAGAAACGTCTGTTGTTACACCTACTACTACGCCACTGTCGAAAGCAACGTAGAAGCTCACGATAATGCTGAATCAGTCCTTTTATTGCATTATAAAGAATAGCTATGGAGAATCAAAGCAAAAAATTGTGCATCCCTAAGCGCGATTCAGCATAGCAGTCACAGACCACATAAGTGATAGCAACACGTGCACGCGTCTTGCTGGTTGCAAGTCCTACGCGGCACCGCCGCCGATGTACATCGTGTGTCATACTTGGATATTACCATTCTATTTAGGACGCCGCAGTAGCACCGTTTCGTGTGATTTGGCTCTAATGGAGTGGAGTGACGAAAGGTATTGAAGTTGTAAAATAACGCTGAGTCCATCATTTAGGCTTCGAAAAATGTCGATCACAAAAAATGATGAAAATATTATAAATGAGTAAAATGTATATATGTCTGGAAAAAGTATTATCGTTTTGGACTATTACACAATAATTCGTTCAAAATTACGCTGCTAATGTGACCACTGAATTAGCGCGATACTGTTTAGCGAGCAAAACATGATACGGCACGCATTACTTCGTGACGATAAACGCAGGTCAAATGACCTTACACTGTATACAGTTTTGACTATGAAACATGTCTGTTTAACCTAATATTTCAGTAAAAGTTGGGAGCATAGCTTGGATTATTGCTCAGAAACCTACTCTGGATCCAAACCTTTTTCAGAGCCTGAACTTCAAGGTTTGCGGGTAAGAACCAATCTCCTGATGACCCTATTTAATTTATTCTGAGATATAAGAAACAAAAGCCAAATTCTGAGAGAGGAGTCGGTTACTTATCTAACTATATTAACTAGATCACAACTGTGAACTAAAGTGTAAAATGGAAAACCTACTGAAGCCTGCTTTCACCAGCTCCGAGTATTACAAATATTCCTTTACGATTAAGGCTGCACAATTGTGGAACGAACTCTCATCTGAAATGAAAGAATTTAGCGATCTATATCTAATGACAGTTTGCCAAACTAATGTTTTCCTTCCTCCTCTAAATTTAGGACCTGATAGAAAATCTAAGAGGTAATGACATGGCATTCCTGGACATCCATTCTTACGGTCAGCTGATCGGATACCCTTGGGGCTACACACATACACTCAGCCAGAACGTAGAAACACTTAAATACATCGCTGCTGGAATGTCAGAGGTACACACTTTTTTTTTACGTGGGGAAATCTTTATAGATACCCCTAAGCCCAGGGAGACTCAGGGGTTATGTGGGAAGTCTCTCTCCAGACTGGAGGATCTACCCCACTAAAACCCCCCGAATTTATCTCCCGCCGGTTGAGTCGGCGCCGTGCGGTCGGTGCACATTCACCACGACGCCGCCCGGCCGCCCTGGCTTGCGCCAGGGCTCCCACGCCAACGGAGGGGCAGATCAGTTGTCCTCCGACCTGCCCCCCAGACGAGTGAGGCCGTGCAACGCAGGCTCCGGAGTCCCTGTCCAGCGCCCGCTGGCCTCACTAGGGGATCAGGCGAGCTGCGAACTGTCTTCGCCTTCTCCCCGCCCAGATATTTCATCTAGGACCTGACCAGGACCGATACTCCCGCGATGGAGATGTGGGCGCCTGCCGGCACCGCCCAGCCGGTACGGCGACCTCGAGCCCCAGCAGTTGTATTCGGCGGACCACCATGTCCGCCGCTACTGAGGCTCTTCGGGCCGCTTCCCTCGTCTGGTAGAGCACCACCCTGTCCTCCAGGTAGTGCTCCACCAGACGGCTGAGATACCTGGGAATCTCGTGGTACCTTAGCGCCGCGAAGCAGCGAAGGGGAGAGTGCCGAAGGCGTTGGCTATGTCCAGACACACAGCCACTACACCCTCCCTCTCGCTGTTAGCCTTCTCCACGATGTGTCGCAGCGACTCCAGGGCGTCCAAGGTGGAGAGTCGAGCCCTGAACCCGTACTGCGACACATCCCTGCCTGTCCTCCTCAGGTGTTCGTTGATCCTGGAGGCGATAATTCGCTCCAGGATTTTCGTCACCTCGTCCAGTAGGACGAGGGGTCTGAACCCCGAGGGGGAGTCCGCAGTTCGGCCCGGCTTGGGTATCAGGACGAGCCTTCCCCCCTTCCAGCATCTCGGGAACAACCCCGTCCTCAAGCAGTCGTCCATGATTTGCTTGAGGCGGGTCCCGAGATGCTTCAGGGCGATGCGGAGGACTCGTCCCGGCACCCCGTCCGGGCTAGGGGCCTTCTTCCGCCCCCGCAATCGCCCCACCGCCCACTCCATCTCCCCCTCGGTGATTTCCGGGGGTTCCTCTGTCTGCCCTCCATCTGCTCTGGGGGGCCCCACGGCCGGTGGGGTGAAGGGCTGCGGTTCGGGAAAGAGGCCCTCCACCACCCGGTTGAAGAGATCCAGCTCCGGTGACTCCATGGGGGATGCGCCGTACATTGTACCTAAGGATTATTATCTTTTATTTATTTGATGATTTATTACCTTTGTGCAATAACACCAGAACTAATCAGTGCATGTGACATTTTATAAATCGATGCTGTGAACGCATTGCGTTTTCCAGCAAATACTGAGTTTGTGACCGCACACAGTCATAGCCCGTAAACCGGGAAACCGTATATCACTGGTGCCATGGACACATACATAGAGAGCCACAAATTACACCCAAACTCACGGGAGAAATAGATGTAGGCCAGACAAACATTTCTCCCGGCCAGGAAATCGTACCCGAGACCTCTGCGTGAGTCCATGATAACCGTTCGGCCACTGAGGCGTTAAATAGCTATTGTTCTTTTGTGTGAATAGTTCGTTAATTTTTTTATATTTTTTGTTTTGTTTCGTAATTATTTATTTATGTTTTACATCGAATTGATTTGATTGTTTTGTTTTTGTTCTAAATGTTTTGACTGTTTTGTTTTTCTTCTGTTTTGTTACTTTTCTTTTTTCTTTCTTTTATGGTGAATCATTGTGGTAAATAAATAAATTGTGTTTTCTTCTTCTTTCGAATTACAACTTTGCAAAACAGAGATTCAAAGATTCTGCGAAAGAAACTAGTCTAACTAACTTTTATGCTTCAATACGAGTCTTTTAAATCAAAGAGTTACACTCATTATATTAACGTGTTATGTTAGGTAGGCTCGCCAGGGCCCTGGACCCCCGGCAACCATTAAACGCCCCCTTAAGGGGTCCATGGACCACAGATTAAGAAACCCTACTAGAAGAAAATTTCTGCTACGACGCAGCAATCGGCAAAAGCACGATCCTCGCGCGAATGTGTTAATATTGGTTTTACAGCATCGACATTTTTTTTAACAAGTCGTGCGTCTGATTGTAAGCTACACGCCTGTGCATAACAGTTGCAGTGCCAGCTTTAAATCGCAAATATCTGAGGAGCCACTGCGCCCGTCGCCCTGAGACATAACTTAACAAGTCCCATGTTCCTGTAACTGCACCAGCAGCCATACCCTTCAAAACCGGAACACAGTAATGCTGACATTACTGCTTGGCGGCAGAAATATATAAGGTGGCAGTACTACCCTGGACGAACTCTTTCACAAGGAGCTTTACTGCTGCTTAATAAGTCCATCAAGCCAAATTTATGTTGTCAATCCTTTTTTTTATTACATAATACGGACGGGGGTTTGGTTTTGTCAGCCTACTGTATTCTTACCCCACACTGGCAGATGTATATGTACATATGTATGTGTAAACTTAAAACAGTTCTGTAATAAACGAAAATTATTTCAGGCAGCATTCAATGCAACAAAACACAAATATGAATATAATTCAATCTACAAACTATTCCCTCATTATGACCACATAAACGGAGTCAGTATCGACTGGGTTCACTCCTTAGGGGTCATGAGAACCTTCGTCATAGAATGCAGGGACACTGGATACCAGGGGTTCACGGTCGGTGAAGACCAGATAGAAGAGAACGGTATAGAGATATTAGCAGCCGTGAGATTTCTGGCCAAAGACATGGATCCCCAAGTCATGCGTAGTAATTATCGTCACTCATGGTTTTGATTAGTAATAAAATATTTGTTCTTATGAAATGTTTTTTTAATTACTTCAACTATCCTCATCATCATTAACCCATTTATACGTCCCACTGTTGGGCACGGGTCTCCTCTCAGACGAGGGTGTGACAGTGTGACCTCCTTGCATGTCCCTAAATGAACCTTACACACATATTTTGGAGCCGTTCCAATTTATTGAGCAGAGTGACTGACAAATCCGGGTAGCAAATTCGGTGTAGTCCAGTATCAGATGGAGAATGCTCTGGCCAAAGTAATTTTAGTTTTAGTATGCAAAAAGTTTTTAAGCCTTCTCAGGGAACAATGCACACCAAACACCTTCCTGCTAACCTCAGCAACGTGCGGCTTCCAAGTCAGACATTTATCGAAAATTACCACCAAACTCCTAACTGTGTCCACAAAAGGAATTCGGACACCATCAAAAACCACATGGGGTAAGGAGTATAGGTCTATACGAGAAGTGAACCAAGTCTACCTATAATAATGGATTGTGTTTTGGACGGGTTAACTTTTAGGCCAAAGGAGTGTCTCCATTGACGGATGGACTCGAGGTCAACATTGATAGCATAAATAGCACTTGGTAAGCCTTGGAGAGATGACTGGGTGTAAATTTGGAGATCATCAGCATATAATAAGTATAGTAAGTAGTAGTAGTATAGTAAGTTTGTCAAGCAGCATCCATTTATTCAAAATAGCCATTCAAATAAACCCACGTGCAAAAAGAAACCCTAATAGACTTGTTGTAGACCATGTACCTAGGACTTCTACTAAAAAGTCCGTACTACACATGTATAAAAATTTATAATAAACTACCCAATGAAATAAAAAAACTGACATATACACAAATGACTACAGAATTGTACAAATGGTTAGTTGTAAAAAAAATTTACAGTGTGAATGAATTCTTGGAACAATAATTATGTATTATTATAAAAAAAACCTTAAATATTTTTTGTAATTCTTGACATATATAAAATATGTATTTTGTTTTTGTAACTTTGACTTTTTTTTTTGTAATTCTTGAATTTTTATTTTTTATTTTCATTTTAATTCTTGACATACTTAATCTGTGAAAATTGTGACTTATTTATTTAAAATTGTAATAGTCAATCAAGAGAATATTATTAGACATTTGCATGCTATCGGATATGCGAAACATGTTTGTACTGGTTTTCCTTTTTTTTGCTACAACTTTTATACCATGTTTGAAGCAAATAAACAAACAAACATAGATGATAGGAAGAAGTAAGAGAGTGTATAATAGAATTAATAAACAAAGAAAATAAGAGAGACTCGGTGATATTTTTTGCAATTTGCATCAGATGGTTCACATTTGTACTTGGCTTTCGCACGATCCTTCTTCTCCATAAAGTTACGAAGGTCACTATTCAACCACGGTGCAGGATCTTCCTGATACGAACAGGCCGAACCGATGCATGTTTGTCTGAAAGTTGAGTGAGTAGCGACGTAAATAAGTCGACCTGATCAAATTTACGCTCCAAAATTACGTTGCAGCAAAATTTTAGGCATAGCCTTGGGCACGCGTATCCTGTATGACAGGTGCACGAGATCGTGATAAGAAAAGGCATCGGCCAAGAATTGACCAAGCTTGGTGACAAGTTCAGGGGAAGAGACAGCTATGAGGTCCAGAAGAGAGGGAGTACAATAGGGAAATGATGCGTAGCATTAGATGGAAGAATATGTAAGTTAGAGGAATTTATAACTGAACGAACACTACGCGAACGTGAATCACTTTTAAGAAGGCAGGTATTAAAATCACCCATCAGTATGGTATGATCATAGTAAGGAGCAAAGTCTTCGAGAAGCTTTTCAAGAGCGGAGAAGTAGTCAATCCTCAGAGATGGGCAACAGTAAACTCCCAGAAATAGCTTACGATGGGACAAAGTAACTCCTAAAAACAGATCTTCTGCAATATTGGGTGGAGGGGGTTGAGGTGAAGTATTGAGGATTGCAAAAGCAATATGGCTACGAAGATAAATAGCTACCCCATCGTGAGAGGAACTAGTAAGGTTGTTACGAATCAGTTGGAAACCTGGAAGACAGAAAGAAGTAATAACGTAATAACGTACACACTCAACATAGCCCCGCACTAGGGAAACCCTGTGTCGCGGGTGCCATAGACACACACATAGACAACCACAAATTACACCCAAACTCACGAGAGAAATAAATGTAGGCCATACAAATATTTCTCCCGACCCGGGAATCGAACCTGGGACCTCCGCGTGGCAGTCCGGCATGGTAACCGTTCGGCCACAGAGGAGAGAAGTAGAAGCAAGACAAGGATTTAAAAAGGTTTCGGACACAAGAATAGCGTGAATATTTTTGTTTTTGTCGTAGCTAGCATTTCCGCATAATATGCTGGAATACTCTGCGCATTGATGTGTACTACATTTAAATTCTTAGGTACTTCTAAGAAGGTATTGTGCAGTAACTCATCAATGGCAGGCTAACTGTGAAAGCTGTCGTCTGAAGACTCAGAGGATATGACATAATGTCTTATATGTAACTCACTTAGATCATTTATTGAAATATCCATAGTTATTAATCAGTATAAAAGTAGTAACAAATATTAATAATAACACTACAGCTGAAATTTAAATAAAAAATAAAAATGGAATGGATAAATTTATTATTATAATATATCTCTTGTTCTGAATATTATTATTTTTTTTAAATTTATCTGTTGTTTAAAATTAAAAAAAAAATATTCAGAACAAGAGATACAACTTGTGGAATGCATAGAATGAGCAAGCGGGATAGAAAATATGTGAACGTTAGTGCTATTTATGAGTTTTATGACAGAACAAAAGCTCATCCATACCAATTACTATTCAAAAAGAGACAAAAAATAAAATGTTACGTATTACATGTAGAGGTGGGCGTTTCAATACAAAGCACTTTAAAAAGTCTACATTTTAAAATAAGCGCATAGGCACGCTTTTCATTTTAAGCGTAAGCGTTGTTTTTAAACAAAGTCTATGCGCTTAAACGTTTTTCTAAACGACTTTTTAAGCGTCAAACTAAAAAGCGTTTAGATGAAAAGCGCTTTCACAAGCACACTTTTTAAACGTACGTTTTAACGTTAAAAAATAAGCAATTTTTTTCCATTTCAACGGTTAACAACACAAAAGTTAAACAACTTATGTTTTTGAACGCTATTAAACGCTAATGAACAAAATTATATTTTTATTATAATAATATAACTCGTTTTTTACAAAAAAAACTTACCTATACCTTTAGTGGTCTACTCTTGCGTTTCGCTATCAACACAAAGTTGCATGCTTTTTTTAACATAAAAGTCTATGCGCTTAAACGTTTTCTAAACGATTTTGTTAGTTTCAAACTAAAAAGCGTTTAAGTAAAAAAGAGTTTAAAAAAGCACGCTTTTTTAAAAAAGCGTAATGCTTAAACGTTTAAGAAAATAAGCAGTTTTTTCCATCTCTAATTGTAGTGTATGCACATAATGTACCACAAACATTAGACAATATAAGTTACACTGCGGCCCGCCGTTCCCGCACTACGACACTAGAAAGTGGTGTGAGCGGACGTATCGCACGTGTACGTGAAGTAAACACATGTTGTTTCATTGAGCTATCCCTATACTAAGTAGCGTAAACGCCACAAATGGCGACGAGGATAAAGAACGTGAGTAGAATTAATAATATTTCGAAATGTCGTCGAGGTTATCAGCTCCGACTCAACTTTGTTAAAAAAAAAAAGAAAGAAGTGGAGGTATGTATCACTATTTCAAATCATTAGAATCCATTTCACTAAGGCATATAAATATAATATCTGCATATTGGAAGTATGTGGCGTGCGTGAGTTGAAATGATTCTTTTGATGATTGATTGAAGTCCATTAAATAACATATTATCCGCATACCATGGTGTACACACCCGTGTCGTATTCTATTAGCTCGAGAAATGATATAAACAAACTTATACCGTTGGCTACTAAACTAGCCCAAAACACAAGTGCCTGCTAATACTTACAAAAAATAAATGTTCTCGTTGTTGTGTAGTTTGTATTACCTGTATTGAAATTGCTAACTTACATTGCAAGATTACGTATGAACTACAAATTACGATGTTCACCTACGACTATACGTAATATGTGAGTGACTTTACAGGGAAATTGATAACCAGAGTAGATTTGTTGCTTGCAATTTAAACAAACTTCATGTTAAAAATATTTAACTAAAAAAAAATAATAATTAAAGAAAATAAACTTTGACCAACATTACGTTATTAATTCAGCAGTGCCAATCCTTTCTTTGCTAATTAGACATGGCCTGCAAAAGTGTAAGCAGCAGCTTACATTTTGTGAACATCTTTGTCACTATATTAAAATACTTACCTACTCATTGAATGACTGGTTTATGCTGTCCTTTCAAAAAACTGATTCATAACAACATTCCCGTTTGTTGGCATTAATATGGTAATTATCATGAAGTAGTGATGTTGGAAATAATAAAGTACAATCAGCAACATCTAAAAGAAAAAATGTTTTCAACAAATACGCTTGATATTGATAAATTCGACTACACAACAACAAATAGTGCCTGTAACTATTAGCCGAATAGAACAACAAATATGAAGGAGTGAAAACACCTTGAGTGCCCCATAAGGTGAAAATTGTAATGTTTTATAAGTAATGGAAGTTACTTATAAAAATGTTAAGTCAGTTTATAATCTATATGGTCATGAAATACGAAGGAGTGATCCATGAGTTGTAAATTGGAGTTACGTCAGTGTACGCACTCAAAACTGAAAATTATAAGTTATATCAGGTATGCGATCAACATGACCATAAAATGCGAAGGAGCGCAAAATCCTACAGTTCCTCTTAGACAGGAGCTATGCTTGTTTATGAAAATTGACAATGTTTGGTCTACAATTGTCTCAAGGTTTAATCCTATATATCGATAACTAAGTACTATGGCGGCCTATCTCAAAAGCTAGTGAT